CAAACCGCAAACCTAACCTAACATAATACGAATTACGAATTGAAAACGACACACGGGATCACGGGAAACAAATAAACTCGGGCTATTACGCGCAGTCTACGGAAGTCACGAACATACATTTTTTCTAGACTTGTTCTTGTTATAAATATGCCAGCACAATTTTTTTTCTGTTTATGTCTGTTTGACAAAGGCAAAAGAACTAACCCTTGAGAGGGATTGGGGATTGGGAGCAAAATTTAACTAATGTCGAATGTTCCATAAGATAAGCAAAAAAAGCAAAGGGTTGTTCGTCTGTTATGTTTTCGAGATCGAAAGGGAATGTTTCGAGTAATGTTTCAAACTCTCTTCAATTGGAACGTTTCGGCTATGTTTCACTAAAGAAGTTTTCAAGTGCTACATTTCTGTAATGAAACAGAAACGTTTCTAGTTAATGTTTCAAATGTTTAGTAAAACATCTCATTTGCAACGTTTCATTTACGTTTCGTGTTTAGTGGGTATGTACATGTGTATTAAAAAGTTAGACAAAATCGATTATGAGATAATTCCACATTATATCTCGAGAAAATATATACTGATCTAAACAACATTAAAACCTAATGACTAAATGACAGGTAGGTTTTTTATATTTCATTATATGTAAATTGTGGGTGTGGTAGAAATTAACTATATTCTAACAACATATTTATGCACTATTCAAAAAGCATAATATACCGATCTTAAAAATAATTTGTTCAAGAAGGTCTGAAGAATTTTATGAGACACAAAAAATTCTATATTAGTAAAACCCTCTTCTATCTGTCAATTATGATTTGACCTTATCACATAGTAGAAAACGAATGATGTAACACTTTATTTACATTAGAAAAGCGTAATTAAAGATAATTTCTAAATTGTGTAACTGCTTTAACTAATCAGATTATGTGGTACTCATCAAAGTGATACCCTCTGACACTAGTATTATTATTGAAGAATATAATTAGAGCAGAAACACAACAAATCCAGCCCCAAAGCATTACGAGAATTTGAAGTTTGACCTGCCTATTGTCAGAAAGTTAATGGTCAACAATTTAAACAATTAATTTGATTTGTTCTGTTTTATTAATAAATAAATAAATAAATTGTAAATTCCTCGATAATTGTTGAGTTTAGGTACAGGACATATGGCACATGAAGGTACTTAGAATTCGGTGCAGAATTTTCAAAAATGAAATAAAAAATAAGTTGATTATAACTTATTTTTTGGCCATCCTGTATGCATGCATTTACCATCAGAAAAACCGCGGCCAAAAATCGACGTGTCTGCGCGTTTTTCCAAAATACAAACCCTTGAATTTTAAAAGAATTTGTTGCAACCGACGCGTCCTCACTGTATATTCAAATTCGGTCAAGTTGTATTTAGTTTTTTTTTGTTGTAAAGATAGTATGTTTATACATATGGAAAAATAATAGGGATAGTTCATATAAAGTTTTTTTCTTAGACGCCCTGTTTTCGAGATACAGTGTGTTGAAGTTATTTACTACTTTCCAAATGGTTTTCCTTAAAGATAAAAATGTCAAAATTTGTACACGAGTAAACATCAACTGTGCGTTAAAAATAACGGTCTCTTTCTGAAAAGCAGTGTCGCCGATACAGGTAATTGGAGGGGTACAATAAAAAAATAGAAATAGAAATGTTAAAAGTCAAAATTTATTACATTTCTAAACAGTTCTGTAGACTCTAAAACATACTACAAAAAAAACGCATACTTTTCGAAATTCGGTAGCACGTACCATTTTCGAGAAAAATGAATAGAAGCAAATGGGGGCAATTTCAGCTAATACTGTATTATTTCGAGTTTTGCTCATTTATTTAATTGTGCAGCTGTTTTGTTCTGTATGTCTCCGAGTCTGTTTCCTATTTTTCTGTTCTTATCACTTTTTTAAGCAATCATGTCCATCAAGAGTTCACTCCATTCAACAATTGTTTATTTTAGTAATGGCAATGTAGTAGTTTACAAAATCTAAAATTAGTTATTAATAGATAATTAATTTATCATAATCTGTTTATTTTGGTTTACTTTTTTAAATGTTAGTTCACAACAATCTCAAACTTAAATAAATTTCAATTTCTTTTTTAGTTAATAAAATGTTTTACAATTTAACTGTTTCATGTGATACGTAAGAAATTAAAATTATAGTCTTAAATGCAAATACTGCTGGTAGCTAAATGTCTTCAGCTCATTCAGTGATAAAGTACTCTTTCAATTTAATATGTTGTTATATCGCTTTATGTGAGCAAAAAAAAATGCAACTTCATTTTTCTCGAAAATGGTACATGCTAGTATATCTTTTTTTTGTAATACGCTTTAGAATTTACAGAACCTTTTAGAAACGTAATAAATTTTGACTTTTAACATATTTTTTTTTCAATGATGTTTACTTGTGTACAAATTTTGACATTTTTATCTTTAGCCGAATTAAAGATAATTTGGGAAAACCATTTGGAAAGTAACAACTTCAACGTACTGTATCTCGAAAACAGGGCTTCTAAGAAAAAAACGTTACATGAACTACCCCCATTATTTTACCATGAGGAACTTGCACACAAGTTTTTTTGAAACATGAACGGGATACCCTGTATATTTGGAATGTTATGGAAATTATTCATATGGTCATTGTTTCTAAAATGTGTCCCATTTAAGAAGGACTTTTCCATAGCTCTGGTAATACATATTTTAAAATTCTACAGGGTGACTCATTTCTTGCGAGCGTTATCTATAACCAAAGCGTTTCAAATTTAACACCATGTTTATGATTGCATTTCTAAATTTATCGTTGGATTTAAGGCCAACTTTAATAAATAAAATATTTATTGTGTCTAAAACAAACGGTTTCTCTAGAGCCTAGAATATCAAATATTTCCATTTTGCTCCTCAGGGTACAATCGTGGGACACCCTGTATAAAAGTAAATAAACATGAACTACATACAAGTAGGTTAAGTATGCCTTTAACCGTTAAGAAGACATTAACTTTATGTGAATGACCAAAAGGAGAAAAGAAATTTGCTTAAATTGGCTCTGGCAAACAACTTTCCTTACCATCTGCGTCACTAAAAATCGACATGGAGAGTAGAGGTAGAGAATAGGTAGGTACTGAGCACGAGGCAGGCTATATGAAAGTGAAACGACTGCCGGTAAGATATTACACGATATAAAATATTACATATTTAAAATTAATGCATAATGCAGCTGGTGAGGCCACAACCTATGGCGCCGTTTGCTAGAAATCACTTCGAGTTTCGAAGCAGTCGCGCGAAGCACAGGAGCTTGGAATTATGGCATTCAGTTTTGTATGTTATGCAGATATATTCGTATCCTACACTGGTCGAGGCCGCGACAAACAACCGCTTTGTTTATGTGTAAACAAAATTCGAAACGTTTTGCGCACTTTTCGGTTTGCTTAAATATAACAGTGACGATACTTACCACTCAGTTGCCTGTGTAAAAGGTACTGTAAATTTTAATTAATGTAATTAACGGGATGGCGTAGAGAAACAAACCGTATTTACTTTTTATTATCTCAATTTAACTTTATTGTTTCGTTTGATTTATAATTGCCCTCGAGTTATTTATTATTGGCTTAATGATATTCTGTGTGGGTTTTATTAAACTGGTAACATGAGTTCACATGGAATAGTAATTTATTTTGTTGATATAAAAAAATGACATTGCAAGAACTCGCATACTGTCGTAAACAATGTAAGTATAGTAAAAATAATTAGAAGTGATGCCTTATTTATGTTAAGTACCTACCTACATAAAGTAAATTATAAAACAATTTTGTGCAAGGTTGAAGTGATAGCAACAAATAATACCAAATTTAGGCAAGATATTTATATACGTTTTAGAATATTTATATTTTATCCTTTCGTATTTTACAGGGTGTTTCAATTTATAGGTGTGGTCAGTAACATAATAAATAAGAAAGAAATGAAGTTCGACTAATGTTCACTAGATAGAGTCTGAAAATATGTATATTTGGAAATTATAACTTCGTGAAAATTGTAAATCTTAAAGCATAAAATGCCCCCAACCATTTGTATCTATTCATCTTTACAAATTTTCTATGCAAATTAAAAAATGTGTCATATCGCTCGTATATTTTAACTATCTAGCAGAATTAATTTTGATAATAATTACAAAAAAAGATTGCATTAGGCCCAAGAAACGGGTGTTATTAATCGCAGATAAAAAAGTTGCTAATTCAGTTTTAGAAATTGGAACCTAACAAGATCGTAAAGGTTTATAATTTGCAATTTTGTAGAAGTTTTATTATCCAACCATGGATCAGTTCAAGCATCTACTTATTTATTTGATGTTCTTTTAATATTATGTTAATGATATACATATACCTCTCTATAAGTGAGGAGAGGCTGTATGCATGCAGGGCGTAAATAAATAAATACAAAAAAACTAGAGATTCCTTGTTGAAAATCGAGCTAGGAGAGAAAAATTTAGTTTTTATTTTTCATATAATAAGAAATTTCATTGTCCTCAAAACTTAAGACACAAGAGACTTTTCAAGAAATCAAGAAATACACAATAAACAACAAATGAGAAATGTCTGCACGTTTTAGTTTTTTTTATTTAATTTTTTTGTTCGAAAATAGTAAAATATCCTATATTTTTTATGATTTTTTTCATAGTAATTTATTTATTAACTATATAGTTTATAGATGCTTATTTGCTTTTTATTTCGAAAGTGGTAAAATCGATGTTTTACAATTTTTCAATTAGTCGCACATAAAAATTTGTTTTCAATTTTATAACTATCAGTGGCCACTAAATAATGTATTTTAAACTTAGATGTGACCTTAAAGCGATAGCTTCTGTTTGGTTGCGATAAGGTGGATAACACTTCTCGTAGTTTAACGTAGCAGAAAAACAAAATGACGTGGGCCAGGATAATTTAGATATTTGATAGATATGCTCAAGGTATTTTTGCCAGTAGATATGCGTTGTGGTTATAAAAAATTCAAAAATTATACTAGACCAGACTACAAGAGTGCGATTTTCAAGAAAGTATAAATAGGACTGGCGTTAGCAGTAGTTAGTAGTAAGAACAAAACTAATGAATGTATTATATAGGGTGTCACAAAAAATTACAGTCAAGATTTTTTGGGCGAAATTAATGGGATTTTCCTTACGGTGTATTTTACTTAAATATCACTTTTCAAAATAGAGGATGTCAAAATTAAAATTTTAAAAAGGATTTTTATTCATAATTCCTTTGTAAGATATTCGACTGAAATTTTGCATAGATTTGTATCTCGTGCTGAATCATAATTCTGGCTAAAAAATCTAGGAGAGGGGGTAGCCATTTATTTAACCAAATAGTTGGTATTCATTACTGACTATTTTTTTTTTCACTCTTAATTTTGATTATCGAGATTCTGCAACGTAGTTGAATGGTCAATATCACATATTCAAAGAAGTTGCAATATCTTGTAAATTTAGCTAAATTAAAATTTCACAATTATGAAATAAGTACAAGAGAAAAAACTCTTGGTACAAAACACAATACATAGGCGTACGAAAAAATGTAGAGGGGAGAGGAGCAACGGATACTACAACCTCTCTTTCCTCCGTTCATGCTTAATTTTTTTTTCAAAATTACATAAAAATGTGTCAGTATATGATAAACGTCCATGCAATATTTCAATTGAATATGTTAAAAAATAAGTTATTAATGAAAATTTTATGTAAATCATAGTTTTAAAATCGTATATCTTGAAAAGCAGTTGTCTAAATGAAAAAATTTCCAATATTTTCGCTTAAATAATCTTCAGTTCAAGGTCAACCTTTGACCTACTTTTTTGTAAACCCTGTATATTCTCATTGCATAATAACGTTACACAAAAGCGTATTGGAACTTACTCAATTTTAACATTTATCGTATCGTTATCTGATTATGGTTTATAATAATATAGCCCACAAAACCAATGATAAATACAACTAGAATAATGACAACTTATGTTAGTGTTAGTATTATAAATGTGCTTCTTCTAGTGTTATCTGCAGCATGCAATGACCGAGCACAACTACGTTCACAATAGGTATGTTAAAAAAATATTTATGAAAATAGGAATAATGATTTCGATGATTCGATCAACCGTTATAGGGTGTTAAACTTGCCAATATAGAATTTTAGGTGTATGCATAAAAAACGCGCTTGCGGTTTTCGATTTGCTCTTTTCGTTTTCCTATAACAACAGCCAACTATCAGTTCTGGGTTACCCCTGTACAATGTTCAGAATATATTTAACGAATCAAATAGTTATCAAATTATTTGCAAAAATATTAAATGTTATAGGTATAACAAATTTTCCCAGAAATACAAAAATAAATGGGCTTATATTGTTTGTATTAAGTTGTGAATTATTATTATATTGATTATGTTGAATTATGTTTATATTATAAGTATAGGTAGACGTAGGTATAGGTACCTATATCAGTAAAACGGGAAACAGGATGCCGTTTGCCAATGAACTCGATATCAATGACATAAACAAGTCAACATTCTCGAATTTTACGTTCTAAATATTATCAATAAATATGAATAAAATTGACGAACTTAACATGATAAACTGGTTTTTCAACAGGTGCATCATCTGATATATGAAATTCATAAAATGCGATTTTTCACACTAAACAATTAAAATGTTAAACTATAAACAATTAAATTGTTAATTATGTCTAACAAACGGTTTCCTTTGGTGATAGCCAGTCAGAAAATAAATTGGACAACAAGTGACCATGCATTAATTTTGTGGATGTGTCACACAATTTTATTGAACGACCCGTTGTAAAATAATACCCACCAGCGACTCCTCTCATTAATAACAACAGAACATAGTAATTTATAGTAGAACTGATCCAGACTTTTAAAAAACGAATTGTACTCCAATTTGAATATTACAATTTTTACTTGAAACACCTCGTAGAGCCTAGCGCTATCTGAAAGAGATAAAAATTGTAAACAGGAATTTAAAAGTTATTAATTTGTTTCCCCTTTACAGTAAAATATGTTGTCTAAGAGCAGAGGAGTTACAAGACTGATATTAAAACTTGAGGATGCAATATGTAAACCTCAAGAAATTTGTACAAGACTGATAAGCACGCAGAAAGTTATAGAACGGGAGAGTAAATATGCTGCCCATAACTACCATCCCTTGCCCGTGGCTCTGTGTAAAGGAGAGGGTAAGTGTTATATTTTATTTTTAAAAATTGCTACTGTAGGTATGTATGTATGAATAAAATATTTGCTTTTACATTTGCCAGAAAACTATAGATCTAATGCGCAAACTTACATACGTAGACTGTCATCCGTAAATATGCTTAATTTTTTGCTCAAAATGACAAAAAAAAATTAAAGAATTTACGGGAAACTTGTCAAGTATTGAACACAATTCTATTCAGAAGATTTATGAAAATGGGAAATTACTCTATTCAGTTATTAAGGAATTAGAGATTAGAATTAATAAGATTATAATATACAGGGTGTTTGGTAAGTCGATGCATTCCTTGCAGGAGGTTATAGTGCAAACGATTAGTGATATATTTCCTTAATATTCCGAAAACGCTTAGTTTCCGATCTACAGGGTGTTAAAGTTTTTAATAAAAAAATGTAAATTTATAAATATTGGGGAAAACGCTCAGAATATTTTAATGAAATTTTACAGGCTTTGACAGTTAACAACAATACACGTTTTACGATAAAAATATTGTTTTCAGTTTCACCAGTGGCGTGCGCACAGGCATGTATAGATATTGTTAAAGAAAAAAATGATACTGATTCTGTTCTTAAAAAAAAAATTATTTTTGAATTCCTTGTTCAATTTGGACGAGAAAAGGTATATCCACTGTTTTTCTTATGACGCACCGTTTTCGAGTAAAAGAAATAAAATCGATTTATTGCATGGCGTAATTCGGTTTCAATAATTTGAAAAATAGCAGAAATTATGCACTTAACTGCTTCACACTCAAACACTCAAAGTGACAGCTATTATTAATTTTGTCAAACAATAACAAAAATGAGTGCACAGCCAACTTGCTAATTTCTGTTTAGATAGTGAATAGCGAATTTAAAAACTGACAAAAATTTTTTAGACTGATATTGTTAACTGCGGGGAATAATAATTTTTTGTAATAAAATTGGTACAAAAAAAAGCTGAGTGCATAATTTCTGCTATTTTCCAAATTATTGAAAACGGATTAGGGAATGTACTAAATCGATTTTATTTTTTTTTACTCGAAAACGGTGCGTCATAAGAAAAACAGTCAAGATACCTTTTCTCTTCCAAATTGAACAAGGAATTGAAAAATAATTTTTATTATAAGAAAAATCAGTGGCGTATCATTTTTTTCTTTAAAAATATCCAAAGACGTGCCTGTGCGCACGCCACTGGTGAAACTAAAAACAATATTGCTTGTAAAATTGCATTAATATATTCTGAGCGGTTTCCGCAATATTTATAAATTTGCATTTTTTATTATAAAATTTTATCACTCTGTAGATCAGAAACTAAGCGTTTTCGGAATATGGTACATTAAAGAAATATATCACATCTCCTGCAAGGAATGCATCGACTTACCAAACACCCTGTATACGCATAACATCCTATTTAAAAATGTGCTATTTCTTGGTATTTTTTTATTGTTTATAACCACTAAAATTATTTCTCATCATATATTTTTTCATATATCAAAATCAGTTCTCTTTTTGACTTTTTCATATTGTAAACACATGGATAACACAAATATGTATCATAAGAATGAGTTATGTAATATATTTAAATTACACTTAAATGTTTTATATCTCTCTAAATTGTTTATTAATTGTTATCATATTTAAAACAGTTTTTCAATTAGTTATCAAGCTAACACAAATACCTGAAAATATTTTTTTCATTATTTTGTATCGCCTGGTAATCTATTAAATAACATCGTTATTTTGTTATAAAATGTAGATCCTAAACCTCTTTTATCCTGTTTAGTTGAATTTTTATCTACAATCAAACTGTAAACATACTGATAATGCGGGAGCATGACCTATACTTTCATTATTGCACGTCCACATCTAAAAATACACGAAAATATTTTATTCTTTCAGATAACAGCACTTATCTGTGAAATTGTAAACGAACTGCAAGTTAAGGATTTTAATGTTATTTATTTTGTATGAGATTTACCACACTTGACATAGTAAACAAATCCTTAACTAATACAGAATTCATATTAAATCATTACCAAAAAAATTCCTGATTTTTCCAAGTTTTCCAGATAAATTTAAAAAATGTTTCAGTTTTCGAAGATATAAGCTTCACTATTTCCTCAATTTTCTGTCAATATCTCTCACGCAAATATTTAACAAGGTATGGTTATTTTAAAAATAATAGGCAATACATATTTTTATTTATTTAAAAAAATGTTTTCTTGTAATAATTTTCCTAATTCTATCTGTAAGAATATAGGTATATAGGATTTTTATTTAGGAGAAATTGACGTTACTTTAATTTCGTCAAAAATACTAATAGTGTTAATCGAGGCGTTAATAATTCTATACAAAATCAGCAAATATTATTTCTTTGGTCAGACTCTATTTTGGATGTTAATATTTACTCCATTAATAATATTGATAAATTGTACTTCATTAAAAAAATATGAGGCACCGCTATTAAAAAAAGATTGTTCAATTTTTTTAATATTCGAAAGAGAACAAAATTGTTCATCAGGTTGCGCAAAAATATACAGGGTGTTCCGTTAAAAAAATAAGTTAAGATGGTTTAAAGTTGACTAAATTCGACATTAAATTTCTACCACCTTGTATGAAATTAAGTCATTTTCAAATTATGGCAGGGAAGCTTAGAGTTTTAGTTATGTTCCCTATAAATTTTACCGCTCTAACTTTATTATTGTAAAATATACATCTTTTTGAATTAGGCAGTGCTTTTTTAATTTTTTTTGAAAATAATTAAATATATCAAAAACATTTAACTTTAAGAATAGGAAGCCTTCATGAAAGTTCACCTAAAAATTGAAGTAGAATCCAAAATTGCAATAATATACAGGGTATACATTTAAAATAACGAAGATGACGTCAACTTCCGGTATAACCGGAAGTGTTAGGTGGACGCCATTATTTTAGTTGAGAAGGGCATGCCTGAAAACACTATTACCCAAATTTTCGAAATTAAAATCGAAGTACCTAGTCTCTGAAATATGTTTAATGTCTGGTCACCATGGGCACCCTGTAGAATATTTATGTTGCGCCTATACTTAAGCAATAAAAAAATATTGGAAAGTGTTTTCTAAAGACATACAAACAAATTCTCACTTGGTGTCAACTTTTAAGTAGTCCTTATACCTATACTGATACAGGGTGAACCAAAAATTACTTCCTTTTCATTTGAATTTTATTTAAAAAAGTAAAAACCTCTCTTTTTAAAATTTAGCTGTAGTTTTTACAATTCCACTCAAAAAATTCAATGACTCCGATATAAATTTAGTTTTATTTTAATCAGGCATTTTGAGAAAATAACAATTTTTTCATATGGATGCTATACCTACTACATTTTATTTAAAAATAAACAATTTTTATTGTAATACAAAAACAAATTACCATATTAAAAAAAGATTAAAGAATTTTTTCAATTTGACTGAAGTTGTAATGAAGTTACAGCTGATTTTTGAAAAGGATTTTAATTTTTTCCGAATAAAAGTCAAATGAATAAAAATATCGTTTTCTTAGAGATATGATAAGTATTAAATTCTGCATTACTTTGTCCATTTAAGCTTTTATACATCTGTTAGTTTCCCTAGAGACTAAAGAATAAAAATGGCAATATTAATAGCATAACACCCTTTCTTCTATTTATGAAATTCTAGATCCATGAAATTCCCTAATTCCAGGTTTTCCAGTTCGTTATATACCCTGCTAATAGTTTAACAATATCAAATTTGAAAAAGATTACAAAATATTTTCATAGAAAGAATTTTGTCGGAATATCATTAAAATATATCCTGGATTTTACGTCAAAAGTTAGTTTATTATACTATTAATTACATATCGCCTGAAATAGTATACACTGTTCTACGTATTATATGTTTTATTCTAGGTGCTTTTGTCTGGGACGTAGAAGGAAAAAGATACTTTGATTACCTCAGTGGATACTCGGCAAACAATTTTGGCCACTGCCACCCCAAAATAGTAGAGGCTCTTCAGAAACAAAGTGCCGTACTTCATCACACATCTAGAGCTTTTTATTCTGACGTATTTGGCGAATATGCGGAAATCATCACCAAACTTTTCGGCTATGACAAATTGCTACCTATGAACACAGGTTGGCAGTTTATAAAACTAATTTATATTTCGTTACACTAGTACTTATTTCTAGGCGTAGAAGCTGATGACACGTCTTGTAAACTAGCTAGAAAATGGGGTTACAGGAAAAAGAATATACCTAAGAACCAAGCTAAGATTATATTCGCTAGCGAGAACTTCTGGGGAAGATCTTTAGCTGCAATTTCAGCGTCCACCGATCCCTTAAGTTTCGAGGATTACGGACCCTTCATGCCCGGCTTTAGTTGCATTCCGTATAACGACTTAACTGCCCTTGAAGTAAGTTATTAAATCGTCGTTAACGGATCTTATGTGCTTCGCTAATTCTAGAAAGCTCTCCAAGATCCTCTGGTGTGCGCTTACATGGTGGAACCCATCCAGGGAGAGGCAGGCATCAGAGTACCCAGTGAAGGATACCTCAAAGGAATCAGGCAACTATGTGACAAATACAATGTCTTGTGGATAGCGGACGAAATTCAAACGGGGTTGGGAAGAACGGGGAAAAGACTGGCTGTGGACTACGAGGGTGTCAAGCCAGATATTTTGGTGCTGGGAAAAGCCCTGGGTGGTGGTGTTTATCCCGTTTCAGCATGTTTGGCTAATGACGATATTATGCTAGTTATTGAACCAGGTAAATAAAAGAAAGGATATAATGAATAATGATTTGTGCAATTTAGAAACTTATAACCCAAAAGAATTTTTTTTACTGAATTGTGGTCCAATAATATTCACAAAAAAACATTCGATTATAAGTTTCTGTACTCCATTTTTATTAACAAATAAACTGAATTTTTTATAGCAAATTAGATTGTTTCCTAATATGTGACTAACTATTAAAGTCATTAGAAATATTTAATAGTTTCTACTTCAATTGAGGCAACAATTGTATTTTATATTATCGAAAAAACAGTTTGAAGAAACTTTTTTAAATAGGTACTCATGGATCAACATTTGGGGGTAACCCCTTGGGATCAAAGGTAGCCATAGCCGCATTAGAGGTTCTCGAAGAAGAAAACGTTGCCGAGAATGCATATAAACTAGGTGAAATATTCCGGGTAGAGTTAAGAAAGAAACTTAACAAACAGATAGTTATAGAAGTTAGAGGAAGAGGATTATTAAATGCCATCGTTATTAACAGAAGTAAGTTTATATTTGGTTTACTCCATTTTGAATTATTTTTAGAATTAAAGGAAATCACCGGTATCCGAATTGGTTCATGAAAGATGTCAACGTGTATGAAGTGTTAGTTTAAATTTGTTTATAGAAATATCAAATCTTTCATTAATGAAACTTATAAAACACTTCTTGACAGTTAGGAAAATAACATGTAATTAAATCAATTAAAAAATGTGCTTATGTCGTAACAATTTTTTTAAGCTTTTTAAAATAATTATTTTCTATAATCATATACATACACTGAAAGTTTTCTACAATATAAGGGGAATATTTAGATTGTTAGGGTCAATTTTGCTACATAAGTTACAGAAAATAGGATTTTTTTAAATTCTTTTAAATCATATAATTTCATACTTAGGGCAGAGGGCAATTAATTGAACAAACAAGATCCATAGAACATAATGTCAATTTTGAAGTAGGTACCACAAGGTTCAAACTTTGGCCCTCTTGTCTTTGTTATATTCACAAATGAAATTGCAACCGTTACTTATTACAGTTACTTTTTGCTGATATCATAAAATATTTAGTTAAACTTTGTTAAATTAAATGTATATTTTTACATATTTGGATAGAACGTTCCCTATCAAGCATAGTTATGTAGGGTTTGTTGACATGTAGGCATTATCTAATTATGCAAGGATTTACAGATTTAGTTGTAATATATTTTGACATATCGGACATTGATACGGTCCAAAATGCGGTCCAACGGTATTTTAACTAAATCTCACTAATTAGGCTGTGAGACGCCTATTTACTCATGGATAATGTTATGTGGTAAGCCGTGACAGTGACAGGTTATGTTATGACAACATTGTTATGGTTTGACAGTTTGTATTATTATTTTATTAAAATGGGTTACACAAAAGTAGAACATTGAAAAATTATAGGAATTAAAATAGAATAAATTATTCTCCATACTCTATTTTAATTCCCAATAATATTTCAATTTTCTACTTCTGTGTAACCCATTTTAATTAAATAATAATACAAAATGTCAATCAAGAACAATGTAATCATGACATTACTACCTGTCACTGTCACCAACTTATCATATAATATTTGTCCATTAAGCCTCGCACGATCTAATTAGTGAGATTTATTTAAAATACCTATACGCATTTTGGACCGAAATCTGCAAATAATTGCGTAATTGGAAAAAAGGCAGAAATGCCTGAAAGAGGTCTAATAATTAAAAGATGTATTATTTTCTTAATAAAAAACCTTTTCGTTTTTTAATATTATCTCGCTTATTGTTAGAGATGGACCCAACAAACCCTATATGACTATACTCGACAGGGAACATTCTATTCAAATATGTAAAAATCTAGTGTTCCATTTAAATTAACAAAGTTAAAATCCGCGGCTCTTTTGTTTGAACTTCATTTGTTTTTCTACTATCATTTTTGAAAACTTCATCGTGTAACTTTCGTACTTTACATTTTTTTATAAATATTAGAACAAAAGTCAAAATATAGTGAATGTACATCATAGATCAAATTATTTACTGACCTTGAAATGTAAAGTTGTTTATTTTTCTGGAAAGAAAGCTATTATGATTATAGAATTAACTGTTCTGCTTGTGCATTTTACATCTCATATTAAACATACGGTGTCGACGGCATGCAAACAATTAAGTTTTTTACATGGAAACACTTTAAAAACTTAGAAATTTATAAATAAGTATATTATTCATTTGTAAGATCTAAAATAGAACAAAGGCAGTTAATATGGTATCCTGTTTGTCAGTGTCATATTAGTAAACTGAATCTCCACAAAGTTTTCGAAATTGCTTCTTTTTAAAAGAAATGGTGCTATAATTTAATATCTCACAGTATTGTGATATTCATGAGGACACCAGACTATTACAAAACTATTATAAAAAAAAAATATTTGCTCCCAATGAAATAGAATACCTCAAAATAGAACACTTTATGGCAAAGTATTGTTTTTCAGATTTCGCGGATGCCTGGGACGTCTGCCTCAGACTAAAGGCGAAAGGACTCATCGCTAAACACACCCATGAAGACATCATTAGGTTTGCTCCACCACTAATTATAACTGAAGACCAGTTGAGAGAATCTGTTGATATTATTGTTAGAACAATTAACAGTATTGAGATTGATTGATTCGTGTACCAGTCATTTGTATATGTTTGACCAATTGTATAAAGTTTTTAATATTTATATTTGTTTGTATTGTCCCGTATTTATTTCGATTGTTCTATTTCTATCTAAGGAAAAGAGGCATTTAATAATAAAGTTTAAAGTACAATTTAAATACTCAATAAAATTATCAATTTTAAACAAATTTAAACCAATAAAAATACCTGTAGCAATACAATAAAAAGAAAAAAGCTGCATAAAAATGACATAATGATATACTAGTATGGGCGAGATGTAACCTACAAAATATGTCATATCTTAAATGTCACTGCTATTCAATGCCTTCTGGTAGCAAAGCATTGCTTTGTACCTACTGGCAGACCTACTAATCTGTACATGCCATGAAAGAATTGGTAAAAAACTTTTTAACTCATGATGTAATGAGAAATTACTACTCTGCGGACTACATGCCTCGTCCAGCTGCTAATGGTTGCTAATACTGAAGCTTTGGCTGTCTTGAAATAAGAGGAATTTTGTATTTAGAATTTGGTATATTATCTGAGTACATTTTTACAATTAATTATATGATAACAAATGTCTAGTTTATTTAGTAATACTATTTTAACAGTCTTTAAAATTGTACATTTTATGGTGTTTTATGTAACATGACAATTTTCGTCGGAGGTTAATGATCAAATTTTACATTTATGTACATATACAAATATTAAGGCAGCAAGTAAGCATGATATTTTGTCATTACCATTAAACAACTAAAGACAAAAACGTTGGCCTCGATCTCCGAAATAACGTTAGCCTTCATTTCACCAAATAATACATAAAGCTACATCACATGTATTCACAAAATTGTAAAATAAATAACTCCATAGAATTATTTAATAATGCACGTTTCGAGATAAACTTGTTTACAAAAAATATATTTTGGGCCCTACCAAACCTTACAACTAGCTAAATGCCTAAAATTAAAATCACACAATGATGAAACCTCATATCCGAAAGCTACGCGTACGTTACTTGAGCATTATTTTTAATTCAGTTCGACCAAAACTAAACCAGGTAATGCACAGACACTGAATTTGTTGTTATAATGCATGCTATTCTTACATGAGCAGAGCAATAATGAGCCAGAATATTTTACATATTTCATTCTGCTGTTTTATTAAAATTATAATTTTTACTGTGAAGAAATAAAGATTAGTCATTTTGCAGATAGCATTACCCATTTTAGTGCAACATTCGAGAATTGGTGAATATTCCTTACGAGATTGACTGTTAATTTAAATAAGTTTATATTCCGCTTTTCCATGATTGTAAAGTTATAATATATCTTTTAATTTAAAATAAAATGTAGTATATTTGTAAATAAAGTTGAAAAACAAACTTAAGAAATGATAAATATTTCGATATTGAATTAGGTAGATGTGCGACTCCTGAAATGTACGTGATTCGTAAATGAACCGACACAAAGCAAGTGTGTACAGGAAATGGAGTTAAGGCTGGTGTTTTATACACAAGAAATCACAATTTTAGTTATATGATTTCTTATGAACATTCCTTACCTCAACTTAGTTCAGTTTAAACAGAGTATTTTCACACTTCATTTCGTATTTGACTTCGCTAATTTCTATAGATTGTTGGACAATATAATAGAAATCTAAAAATTTTAAACAATATTGTTGACCGATTAAGTTTTAGTGTTTTTAATGTTTTTGTTTAATAAAAAAATGTTTTTAGATTTTAACAATTATATAAAAAAAATTTTATAATCCATGTATGTGGTGCTGTTATCTAGAGATGGGATAAAACCCGAAACGATCGTAATAAATAATATATAAATGAATAATAGTTTTATAAACTGTGTTTATTTTGTCCAGTCACTCAAAAAATAAATAATTTTCAAGAATTAATTATACGGTCAGGAAATTATATATTTAAGAATTAATAATAAATATGAATCAAAGTTGATACAGTCACAAAAACAAAAATTAATTGAACAATTTTCAAATTTCCTCATTCTGCAAATTCGAATTCATAAAATTTACATAAGAGTAGTCACAGAGATTCAAATTTGATAGTCACAATGTACAGAATGAATGTGAAATATATTTTTTTTAAGCGGAAGTACATAAAAATGGTGATTAGTTTCAATAATTCTTGGAAAAGAATTTTCGATTAAATGTTTCTATACTCTACTTTCATTATTTTATTTTCAATATCAAATAAATTAAACTTTTTATGGCAATCAAATCAGATGACTAAGGCACGACATTTCAGTCCGAAAGCAGGGGCGTCCGCGCGTGGATGGGCTCTAACAAATATCTGGAACATTACATATGTCCCTGCAGCAGTTTCTTTAAGCGATGTCCGCAACGGAGAAAAAATATTCTTATATAACGAAAACTATTGTTCGACATCTAATGACATTATAGGTGCATATTTGAAGTAATCTCTGAAAGCAGTTAGTGAATCCATGGGAGAGCTATTGCTATGAAGGTGTCTTAATCTGGAAAAATCTGCATTTTTCTTAACATATTGTCAAACTTTCTCCGACGTAAACACTTTTCTCGTCACTTAAGGCATATAGCCAGTGGCGGCTCGTGAAGGACTCTGGGACGTTATGTTTGACCGCGCGCGCAATCCCCACTCTATCGCGGACGGTGAAATCTAAGTCCATCGTGCAAGCATATTTCTACATATCGTGCGACAAATTGGCACGTGGCGGGGATAGGTGACGATAGGTTCGCGTGCTTTCTTTTGGATTCCATGTGGCAGTAACCCGTTTGACTGCAGTGTGTTTATACGTGTTTTGTTTGTGCTTTGGCGCTTTTTAAGACATTATATTTTATAAGTTTAAGTTTAAAATGAGGGTTTGTGAAATAAAAAAACTTGTTATTAGTAATTTAAGTTTAGAGGAAAAAGTCGAATTGAAAAATAACGGACGTCCAACACCAGTGTTGAATTTAGTTCAGGTTTTATTCGCAAATTTGATAAAAATATTTATGATAAGACCCTGTGGTTATAACGAAACAAATATTACATAAATATAATTTTATATGTTTATTGTTTGGAGGAGGCGAAGAAAACTTGTTGAAAACTTCTGACTTGAAACATTTACCGGACAAAATTAAAAAACATGAAAATGATCCTAAACACAAAAATAACTTGGAGAGTTTTTTACTTAGGAAGAATAAATATTGCATCTTGATGCAGAACAAATAAATACTTAGTCATAACGATACAGTTAAGAAAAATCGATTGCTTCTTTAAAAAATTATAGATATCTTAAAACTATGTGGTACATGTAACCTTCCTCTTCGTGGACATAATGAAAAAAGTGACTCGGTAAACAAAGGGGTATTTTTAGAACTGATAGACTATAGTGCAAAAATTGATCCCCGTTTAGGTTATCTTAGTGATGCCCATGTTTACCACCTACACACTGACAGTATTCATTTTGGGGTATTTACTTGCAAAACACAATAACCTTGAAATTCCTCAAAATTTTTCGCCCCACACCTCATATACATTCTCTCTTCAAAATGCACCCCTCCTGTAGTCAAACCCACAGGCCGCCACTGCATATATCACTGTTTGTATGTCCTACTATTTGCAGTGATTCATCTGACGATAATGCAGTTTTTTTTATAGCATCCGCAATTGGAATGTAATTGTTGTAAATATTTTCCAATTGTGCTTCAACTCGACTATCTTAAAATTTTATTTAGCTCTTCTGAATAACAGCGAATTCTTTCGCGTCAAATTGTAAAATTACGGATTTTATTTTTTGAAATGGGTTGTGGATGTTCTGGAATGCCAGGACACTGTTGGTGGAATTGACGAATACGTTTCGAGGATTTGAGAAACACTGCCTTGGTCTGTGCTATTAATTCATCTACACTTGGGTAACACCAACCAATTGTTTCTACGACAAGATGTAATACGTGCAGAAACACTTGTTTGTTAGTACTTAATTTCGACATAGCTATGTATTTACTTCTTAAGGCACAGAAAAAATTTCTTTGCTAAAGAAAGAACGAAAAACATACATCTGTTACGCTGCGACGTAACCGGATACTACCTACCTACGAACTAAAAATGTCATACCTTAGAGATGATTAATGAAATAATTAAATGAACTGTTAATACAAAAAATTTATGAGAGAAAAATCGTGTAGGATTCATGCTAATATGTTAAAAAAAAAACGTTGTAAGGCCACCAGCCAAAAAAATTAGGTTATTTGAAAAAAAAAACTAAAAATATTCATTCAAGATCATCTAACAGCTAAACAAAATAACGCGGGATAGAGGTAAATTGTGTTCTCTATATGCACTTGCCCTGTGTCAATTCTTTACGAATCACCTTATAATGTTTAATTACTTAATAGAGAGACAATTGTAGCAATAACTTAATTTAAATTCATCTTTACTACTTAAAATATCATAAATTATAATACATAGGCACATGAAAATATATAATCTAAAATTCAATAAATATCTCGATGCTATGTTTTTAAAATACGAGTATCAAATTTGTACCTTATAATCTCAACCCTTAATACCTAAGCGATAATTTTTACAAAGATAAACTCAGTAAATTGATAAATGAGGGTTGTCTAAAATTAAAATTGGCAATTCTTTGCATATACATGTGTCTCATTTTAATTGATACACGTGAATATCTCTACTTAATCACGACCTTCGATTCGTCCTTGATCTCCACTTTATCAAGGTCATTTGAAAGTCGACTATAACAATTGTAGGAAAAAATAATGCTACGAACAAGTGAGGGGAGAATGATAAAAATATCTTGTTACTCAATGAAGATATAACTTCACTTGAAAATTGAAAGATATATCTGAGTACATTACAAAATAAAACTGACTGACGGTGAAAAATTGAGAAAATATAAAAAACTACTATTTGTGAGCTATTGAATTATGTTGTCATTACGTTAATATTCTAGACTTAAATCTTCACCTGATCTTCAAATGACCTTTTTATTTGATCCCTTACTTTGCAGCGTACTTGGATACAAATTTACCTTTTTCCAAGGATCTGATCTAAGTAATACACGGCCTGGCAGAAAAGAAAACAAAGTGAACCTTCAAATTCAACATCTTTCGGAACATCAGTATAGGTGATGGTCGATTTTATTGTAGTCGACCTTCAAATGACCTTGACAAAGTGAAGGTCAAGGACAAATTGAAGGTTGTGATTAAGTACCTTGATGTAAATCCCATCGATTCTGGAGGCCAACATCTTATTCCGAGGCTGCTTCATGGGTGACACTGTGACCTTGACCTTGCCTCAAGGTCAAAGTAATCACATCCGGATGTAAAAGTTTCCGCTGAATCCATTTCCAAGGTTAAAAATAGAGGGTCCCATTTAAAATTCCGAAGTTGACCATCAATTGAGGTCAAGGTCAAATCCTAAGTAAGCATCTAGTTTCCTTAGTGAACTGAACAACATTTACTTTAGGCCATTTTTCGATTGGTTGCTTCTCTGACGAGATATTTAAGTGTATCAATTAAAATGGGACAGCCAGTATATTTAATATTATTTTTAATATCAAAACATACAACTATCAGATAATTTTTCTTTGTCACCCAAATAGTCTCTTATTGTATTGTATACCCTTTTCCTCTTTAAGAGAATATTTATCCTTGCCTTTAATCTTAAAATACATTAAATTTCAGTATTGGATATCCCGGCCTTTGTCAAAAAAATCTGATTATTTGATGAAGCATTTATCGTGAACGTAACAATTTTTTTTCATAATTGTAACATTTTTTTTTCTTTTCGTGAAAATTGTAACAATTTTTTGAAGAGAATTGTAACAAATTTTTGACAAGATATAAAAATAGGACATAAATAAATTATTCGAGACAGATTTTTAGTCTTGGTCTAAATAATGTCTATAAAAAAGAACGTCAAGGGTCATAAAATATCTAATATTTACAATTCGGCATTTCTTTAAAATACTCAATAAATTATATTTGAAGCTGCAACCATTCTAATGCAACTCTGAGGGTCAGATCCTTGGAAAAATATCACTAAACGGTCGTTTCTACATCATCGCTCAAATGGTCAAAGTTGTGACTATGCGAGGCCCTACGTCGTTGTCTAATATCACTAACATACGAGTTAATTTCGGAATCCGAAAGGCAAGGACTGGCGTGAGTCGTACCGTACAAGTTTCGAGACCTCTTAGGCTGGGGTCCTCTCCTAATCTGCTGGTATAGTTCGTCCAGATCGCTGACCGAAATACTACTTGTCCTGCTTTGCCCATCACCCTTACCCAATCTCAAGTCATGCGAGGGGTTAATGTACATCCTAGGGGTGGAAGCGCCACAAAAAGACGAAGTTATTAAGCTAAAACTGAGATCGGAGGGTTCGGCTTTAAGTTTCCCCCCTTTTCGATGACACGTATCTTTGCCTGGCTTCAAGTAAAATTCATTGTGTATCGTACTGTCGCTGGGTAATTCATTGATTTGACAATAAGTTGGGTCGTTCACCGTAAAAAGACTTAAAGGGCTGTTCTCACGGCGAATACAAGGCAGAACTTCGCTGGCACCCGTCATAAAACTTTCTTGATTCGGCAGCAAGTTCTTGTCGGGGCTCGTTTTATCCAAAATGGAATCAGAAACGGTCTCGGAACTGTAGTCTAAAGTGCACTGCTGCGATACCGATCTCATATTGTTGTCGGTTTTTTCCGAATGCGACTTAGTGACGTTATTGTGCCTTTTCTTGTTTTTGTGTCTTGATAGTTCTTTTTTGCGCAACCTCTCCGCGTTCATTACGATATTTTCCACAGGGACGTTGGATACAGTGTCGAAATCTTCAGCACTATCGGAAAATATATTCGGGTTTTTCTGTTGAATCTTTCGCGTATGTTCTACATGGATATTCGTGTTGTTCACTTTAGAGTTTGTGCCAAAGATATTCTGTTCGTTGCTATTCTTGATCTTCACCTTCGGTTCGGAGAACACTGAAGCGGTATCGCTATTGATATCTCTTGGCGGTTTTGCTAAATTATTCTTCTTCATCATGTTCCTCTTCTGTCGTTTAAAGAATTTCCTCGCGACTGTGCTTTGATGAGGGTTGTAAAAGACTTCCGCGGCATTTGTAGGATTCTCTATAATATTCGGGATAATATTAGACCTGTACTGCGCCCTATGCAGTATAACTAAATTAACGTTGTTGATCTTGGCCCCCTGGTGATCGTTGAAACTGCCGTTCAAATCCACTGCACCTTTTAAAATATTACTAGTATGAGAATTCGATTTCGTGTGACTGGAACTCCTACTCGTAGACCTAGAAATAATTTGACTCTCCAAGTTACAAACGGGTGGCAACGGCAGTGGCTGTATTTGAATTTGTGGTATAGGAGGCGGCGTATCTGACACGTTCCTCGTACGAAAGCAGCTACGTTTCTGCTTCATCCTTTTCGTCAAAGCGACCCACTGGGTTCGCACGTCGTTCCGAGCTATGCAATAGAAAAACAACGTAAATGCACTTAACGTAGTAGCTGAGATAGCAAACGCTATGCTGAACAAATCCTCTTCGTATGAAACTATATGAAATGGTGGTACAGTCGCAAAAGCGCAACTTAACCACGCGGTTATATACATGAAGAAAAAAATTACATAGGCCTTTAGCTGTGCGGATGGCGCATGTTCTGGATCTTCAACTTCAGTCGAAGCAGTTTTCGTAGAAACACTCCGCACGCTTCTAGTTTCGACATTAGGAAAGTTCGGCTCTAATAAATCTAAGTCGACATGCTCCGTTGCTTGTGTTCCTTCGCTTAGATGTCCGTTAGTGTCTAGGTTATATATCGCACATCTTATAAGCAGGAAAAATATGCTCAAAAATATCGTGAGGATAGCAAAAGGTACGTACAAAGCACTTAAAGCTGGGCCTGTCCGTAGGAAGCAGTGAGTCGGTGACGCGTACTCGTTCATATTGATAGCAGCCGACAAACCGCAAATTATAAGCCCTATTCCCCAACCCACCAGGTACAAACCTAAAATGGGCTTCTGAACCGGTTGTTCGGAAGGTAAGTCGTCATCCTGCAAACCTATTATATCATTTTTACTCAGACGTTTGTACATGCAATTGATGCCGACGCACATCCACAGAAGCGAACACAACGTAAAATAATGCAGGGTCATCCCCACCACCTGACAAACCTTAACGTCTTCAGTTTGGTAAATTCCGAAAACGTACATGAAACACAGAAGCGATATCGTTATCCACGTGTTTATGAGAGAATGCTTCGCTTTTTTCGGCATTTGTATAGACGTGTAGCACAACAAATATGTCATCACTACAATTAGAAATGATATGAATAAAATGATGCTACCTATATAAATAGCGGGATGGGACAGCTTGAATTTGGCGCCTGTCGGGCTGTTCTGGAACTGAGAGACATCTTGCAGCAGCCCGTAGTAACCGAAATTGTCGCACGAGAACACCAGGTGGTCCTGCAGTTCGTGGCTAAATTGACAACCCTCCGACGACCAACTTCCCGTACCGTTATTCAAGTCTGGGTCCCACCATACGGGTATAAAGGGCGTCACTTCATAGGCCATCGTGGACGGGGTTCTCAGCATTATGAAAACAGGATTTGAGAGGTTTTTTACAGGAATTTCCACTGAAAATAAATTTCAGTTAAAATATTCGCATGGAAATTATACAGAGTGAAACTTTAAGTGGGGATCAGTTTTTTGGGGATAATAGTATGTGTTCCCCCTAAATACGAATCTGAAAGTATTATTTTTAATCAAATAAATAATCAATTTATAATTATCTTTTTAATCTGCACACGAATATTTTTTAAAATCATTTAAGGTTTTTAATAAAAAAGTTTTTGTTAGTTTTTTAAAGCACTGTGTTTAGTTTGTAAAACTCAGTGTTCGACATTGATTTAGTTTAGGTGAACTACATAATCCACCTGATGTGATATGACAACAGGGCCTTAGCAGGAAAAAAACATACAGCCAACATTAATTCATCAAAATAAGAATAGTCGAATATGAAACTGCTTCATTTTATTACATTTACTTTAGTATTTGTTTTAAGTGGTAAGACATTTTGCGACCTTTTGTGTGAAGTACTAGTTTTTACTGGAACTGAAATATAATTTGTATAGTACAATCATTTTTGATTAAGCTTAATTTTATAGTAAAATTTAGAGGCATTTAGTGATGATGTGTGTTTGTGTGTCTTCATTGTTAAATTACTGAATGACATATGAATCAAGAATAATAAAAAGATGAGATTTGAGGACAAGGTATGCTGTAGTTCTAAGGTGTGTCTTAGCAGCTAGAGTATTTGAGGTTACTCTAGTCTATCATGTGAAGCGGGTATGGAAAGTTTGGAGTTTTAAAAAAAAATTGTGTTTTCACAAAGAAATTTTGAGAAAATCAACTTATGACATGTATTTCTAAAGATCAAAGGTAGGCTTGTATAAATATGATCCCCATTCAAAATTACACCTTGTATATTAAGCAAATATGTTGCAAAACATCAAATTTAAATATCATGTACCTAATTTAGCCCCCACGACGCATGAGGTGACATCCTCTTTGCCTTTTCTTCTCTCGTCTATAGGAAATAGTTTACTCGTAGAATGCATAGTGACTAAAATATTGTACACTTTACTATTAAGAACGATATCTTGTTCATCTTGCAACTGATGAAATAGACTTTCCGGTATAGTAACAGAAGCTTCAGTGATTTTTCCTTTCAAGCTCGGCGTATCTTGCTGATTATTCGAAGCACAGGAGAAAAGGGAATCCTTTCGATTACTGGGATTCACGTACCAAGTACATTTCATACCTAGAAACCCTTCTTTCTTCACTGGGAATATCTCCAGTGCCAAGTTGTTCTAAAAATTAGAATAGCGACTGGTCATTGGCCACATATGATATAAAATCTTACATCTAATGATTGGTTAGTGACGTTAATATACCGTGAGCGGCAAAAGTATGGAATATATTTATTTAAAAATCAGATGTTCGTTATTTGAAAAATATTTTTAACCGTTTTCGAGATAATGGCGTCTGAATATAGAATATGAAAAATTTTAAAAAATTACTCTCGATACCTAAGGACTGTAACGTCAAAGTTAGTGGGAACTGGTGTACTTTCTGCTAAATACATTTTGTGTTTTTCAAATATTTAAGCACAGCTAATGAATTTAATTTTTAATTTTAATTTGTTTGGTACAAACTGACAAAGCCAGAACACAGCAGGAATAATGTGAAATATTCAATAACAAATATCTAAATCAAACAATCATTCAGGCTACTGTAAGAAAAATTTGCAAAAAATTCAAGATTATAAACTAATTCAAACAGAGTTAAATTAAATGTTCAAATTACCATCCATTGGTTTCTTGACAATACCTAAGCCTATGTACAGACTCATCCCATTATCTCGAAAATGGTTAAAGACAGGTATAAGTTATGTTACATAAAAAATGATCAGAATTACAGGATTTCCATTTAAAAAAGTTGGCCTTGATTTCATAACTTTTTTTTGGGCCACCCTGTATAAATGAAAATTGCTTCAGAAAATGCGCAACATAAATGAAAATTGCTTCAGAAAATGCGCGACTAAAAATATAATTCGAGGGGTCCCAGCGATTTTTCAAATAACAAACATCTGATTTTTAAATAAATATATTCCATACTTTTGCCGCTCATGGTATAAGTTTAGTCAGTTTTTGACACTATTTTTAGATATTAACAGAAAATTAAATAATATAATAAAAAACTTGCCGTTTTAAAATAGATTCCTTATTGATTTTATGTTACAAGACAAAATTTCAATATGTAAGAAGTTGGAGGCTGTTGCAATTTTCACACGACATAAATTGGTGATAACAATAATAAATTAGTATTAGGCATTGCGAGGTACATCATATGTGAGTAAGGTAGATTGGCTCGAGGCACGTGGAAGTTAAAACGTTCCAAAATTTGAGGACTATCAAACACGTAATTAATGACTACAAAAAACAACAGAATGTATATCTCAAAGAATATTGTGAGAAAAACCAATGTTGGGGTATATTCCCCGAGTCCTGAAGTGCATGTATTTTAAGAATTCTCTTTAAATGTTTGCTAAGTTATTTTTATAGACTGCATATTGAGATACCAAACTATTGAAGCATACTCCAAGCGAGATATACAAAACAATTATATAAATTTACTATTGTAAACGGATCAGCAAAATCTTTACAATTTCTAATCACAATCCCAAGGCTATTATAAGATGTTGAAGAAATATTACGTACGAGTTCATAATTTTTGATCAAACGTTACTCCCAAATCTTTTATATAATTGGGACGAGTAAGGGAGTGATTGTTTATCCTATAATCATAGATGACAGGACAAGTCATTCTAGAGAAAGACATTATGTTGCATTTACTTATGTTAAGGGGAAGTCTGTTTTCTATACACTATGTATTCACCGATGTTAAAGCATTTTGTAAGTTCTGACAATATCAATCAATATCAATCTTAACAAATATTTTCGTATCATCAGCGTACACGTAAAGTATAAAATTAACTTCTAAATATTTACTAATATCATTCAAAAAAATATTGAACATTAGGGATCCTAAAATGGAACTTGGGAAACTCCAGACAATACATTTATGAGTTCAGATTTAAATCCCTTATATTGTACATACTGTATTCTCCGAATCAAGTACGACCTAAGCAAATTCAACAGCTTTGTAGAGACACCACATACATCTAACCTTCCCAACAGAATGCGATATTGATATCTAACCTGTCAAACGCTTTAGAAAATTCTTTATATATAACGTTGACTTGACCGTGATTGTCCAAAGTTCTAGATATAATCTGTAATGCAAACAAGATTTGTTGTAGTCGATCTACCTCTCATAAAACCATGCTGATTAACGTCTATAATCTAGTTAACGTGCTCATATAAATGATTATGTAAAATGATCTGTAATATTTTGTTGAATTTGCATATAATTGTAATAGCACGGTAGTTGGACATATCACTTTTATCGTAAATAAGTTGTATTGTCGACACTTTCCAAACATCAGGGAAAGTTTCCGTTTTTAAGATTAAATTAAAAATAACTCGCAATGGTTTGGCAAATACAGCTTCAGTCTCTCAAAAGAAAGGCCAGAATTAGGTCAGGTCCCATTGTAAAATTGGATTTTAATTTTTTTATACCTCTAACAATATCTTGTTTCTCAACCTAGCTGAAATCCAGTATTCTATTATGAATTAGCTGACTGTTACGATGCCTGTACAAGTTATTCTGAATATAAGAACTAGCAAAACATTGTGCAAAACCATTCGCTACAAGTTGCCCATTATTTAGTTCTTGACCATTAAAATTCACACTAGTAGGATAACCTGTATTTTGATTTTTATTAGAGATATAAGACCAAAAATTATTAGGCTTTTCTTTTAACTCTTGCTCAATTTTGCAGACAAAATTTCTTCGTGCCTCAGAAGTATCATGTTTTATTCTTGATCTAATCGCCTTAAATTGCTGATATATATTTACACTAGCAGTTTCTTTATATCTATTCCATAGCCTATACTTTTTTTTAATATAATACTTACCTTGTGCAAGATTGAGGAAGTACTCAACGACGCGAGGGTTTCCGTAGCATTTACCATCCGTCTACAACTCCCGTATTCTAAATCTGCTTCTCGTAGATAAAATCGTGGTAGATCCATCAAATTATTTGTAACGTCCATCAAGATACTTCCGATAGTTGCGATATGTTCCAAAGGTGCGTATTTTATGTAATTCTCTATAGTTTCTATCGCATACACCAAGTCCATTACATCTTTAAAGATGGTACGGTTGAGAGTATAGTTTCTAAAATGCTTTGCGCTCTCTTCTATACTGGAGTTGACTTTTGAAAACTGTTCCAAAATTTTCGTTGTGTCTGATATGTAGGAACACATGGAAGTGTTTAAATTAACCCACTCGCCTTTACTGGAACACTCGTAAGACACTTTCTGATGGTTCACATCATAGTTTAAGTTTAACGACTCACAAGGTATCATCACCGTATAGTTAATGATAGTCCTAGGCCAGTTATAAGTACCTTTATTGTTTGACGTCACCGTCATCGGGCAATATTTTGTATCGTCCGATATAACGACAACTGCAATACCCTTCGAGTGATTACCCTGCAATGAGAAATACACACAGTTCCATATGCCAGTATGGTTTCTTTTCAACTTGGAAATAGTTATAGTGCTACCAATACGCCCCGCACTCGGTAAAATTTGGTTTTCTATGTCTAGACCCGGAAAGTGCTCTTCTGGGTTAACGTCCAGCCAAGTCCAGTCGAGTTTGGAATGGGTAGGTTCCTCATAGGAATCTGTTATACTGGGAGCGTAGCATTGTAACGTTAAAGCATCCCCTTCGAAGACTACCTGGTTTTCGTCAGGTTTCAGTTCGATTATCGGCAAACCGTTATTGCCAGCCGGAGACTTACAGTGAATATCATCCCCAATTTTTAATTTTCGCAATGGGTGACCTTTAAATAACGCCGGTGAATTGCACTTAGGATTTGAAATTAATTTGACTGAGTACTTCTGGCTCCAATCTAAGAGCCATAGCAATCCACAGTCACAGACCAATGGATTGCTCGATATGTCCCTAAAAACAAATCGGCGGGTAAATAAAGAAAAAACTAAATTTTTGTAATTAAAAACTTACAATTGCTTTAGATTTTCTAATGGAGTGAACGTTCCAAATGTTATTGAAGTTATCTGATTTTGATTCATTTTCAACCTCTCTAGATGTTTCAAATTATGGAAAGCTAATAGGTCGATATGCCTGATATTGTTCATAGATATGTCCAGTCTCCTCAAATTTGGTACTTCTGCGAATTGATGTTGTTGTAGATCAGTTATTTGATTTTTACTCAAATCCCTAAAAAATTATATACTCAATACCACTGCAAAATATAGATATTTTAACTTACAGTTTTTGAAGTGCTATTAACTGAACCTTAGGCGAGAAAGACTGTAAATTATTATTGGACAAATTTCTGAGGAAAAAAATATATAATTGAAAACTTAATTACACAACATATATTAAAACTTACAGTTGCACCAGTTCACTGGCTATATTTAACAGTTCCAGTTCATCTAAATGTAATACCTTCTCGACCTCGCCGCACTTCATTTTTAAGTAATTTGCTCCATCTTTTTGAGTACTTCTTTTGCATATACATTTATAAGGACATTCTTCTTCACTTGCCCAAATATGTATAATAAAAATGAATATAAAAGACTTGAACAGCAATCTACTCATTTTTCATTTAATAAACATTCAGATCATTACATTTCATGTTTCATTTTTTGTATATGGGGGAGCACAAGATAAATAAACATTGCACGGTTCCACATGATTTATCTAGTTTAGGATTAACACAGCAATTATAATATGTTAAAAAAGTTGACATTTAATGTATATCCTCCCTGTTTTCCTAGGAGATTTACATTTTTTGATATTTTCCTATTTATTTATTCAATATTTAATTTAACACTTTGACATACAAAAGAAGCCATTTTAAAATACGAGATAACCATAGCACAGAGCAGATTGTTTGGTAGGCTGTGATCGTGTGATCATAGCACAAAATAAAGTAACAATATTTAATTATTCTGTAATCCAGTCTCTCTGGTGGGCTTTCGTTTTGGGTTTTGGCAAAAATAGTACCTATTAGCAACTAATATCAGTTCAGAGTAACTCTAAGTTGCTATTAGCTACCTCAGAGTAATAAGTAAAGGGGAGGCCGCATACCCTATTTCAGTACACAATATAAACATATAACATCAACCCATTGTATGTTGATAAACAAATGATACATAAGTAAACACAATGGTCCCTGGTACAGTGGCGTACCGAGTTTAGGTTTAAAATCTATCATAATATAAGGAAACCATAAAAATTACACTTTTTAATAGAATAAAATCAGAAGTGCTCGATTATTTAAGCTTTCATGTGTAATAAATAGACAATAAATAGGAAAAAGTTAATGGTTTCTTCAAAATCTATAATTAATATTTTAAAAACATTTCCAGAACAAAAGAGTGACTAAAGAAAACTCCTCGATTGAAACTATCATTATACTATAGCTATAGCAATGTCATTGCCTACTATTAATTCTATTATTTCATAGTAGTTCTCGATTACTGGAAGAACATTTATTAAAATAAATAATTTAAATAAAACTACAAGAAAAGGAGCAAAAATATATTTAATTAAAATCTGCTGGAATATAAACAATGCAAAGAAAACAAAACATATTTGTACTAAAAGTAACGGAAAAATGAATTTACATTGAACAACATTTAATCGTATGGGAAAATAAGCATGTTTTAAATGTACGCAACAAAAATAAGCTGAATTTTGAGCTCACAACATTGACAGCTCGTCTCTTATGGAACAGGGACAACATGTGATTGAAGATGTTTTATAGCAACATCTATAAAATTTCCTTCACTGGCAATTTCTCGAAGAGGGAACCTTTGAGACGGCACAACCATTTCATCAACACTGTGCTAAAACGTATTACCTTCCAAATGTTGTATTAATAGGCACAGCTCCATGTGTGAGACATCGTTTTCCAGTTACTGTTACCTTAATATCTGTAGCACGGAAATGCTTCGACAGACATAATTATCCTTTGAAAAATCATATTCAGATATGGCGAAATTTTCTAGCCACACTGCTCGTATCGCAGGATCTTATGGTATTCTACAAATAAACACAGAGCTAGTGTCAGTATCAAAATACAAACATAATAAATTAACAAATAAAATACTTAGGACACCTTACACCCTTGTAAGAACGCCCATGGAAACAATGTCAAACTTACTTGTGAAAAGAAGTAGCACATATTTGGCTCTTTTCCTGTAATTGTCGGCATATTATACGCCGCTTTGGCATTTTTATTGAAATTAGATAAAAAAACAGTTTAAAAAGACACAAAACACTGAACTCGGCTAATATCTATTTCACAACAATAGACTGTAATAATGGCGTCCCCTTTAGAACCGTTTAATACCAGGCAATGATGCCACTTACGACGTTTGTATTGCTAGGAATTTCAATAATGTATTTTTTTTCAGATATTCAAAATCTATAATTATAAAACAAGTTGCAAGAAAATAGTGTCGTAGTCTTATGCATATTACAATGTAACTAATTTGTAAGTCGAGGTCAAGAATGAGGTAGATCCTTGTACGATAATCAATTAAAATGACCGCTGTACCTAGCTATAAAGATAAAAATGTAACATTGGCATCAATGTCAAGGACATCACAAAGTACCAATGTTTGTAAATACACATATGTCAACACTTCACTATCAAATGTAAATAAAGGCGTCCCCTTTATTTATTAGTCTGAGTTAGCTACTAATAGCTACTATTTTTGCTAAATCGAAAGACCCTCTTGTAGGCGATGCTGAAACCTGAATACAGTGGATGTTACTTATGCACTATTGCACTAGATTCACAGTTTAGTAAGGTCACATCACAACTCACAAAACAGAAAAAAGAAGTAAGATCGATCTATGGATTTGGTCGATTTTGATCTTGGTCACAGATGTGCACATAACAGTGTTATGTAGTTGCGCACATAAAATTATAAATGTCAGTAAAAATGGTCAGTAATATGATGTCAAAAGAAGTCAATTCTAACCTAAATGATTGTGGTTTCCAAAAAGTAACTTACAAAAGGAAATTTCGGAAACTGAAACCTACACAATTAAAAAATCAAAATCTGTCGACCTATCCAAATTTTGACGTGAAAACTTGTGTAAGGTATACCTCGTGAGCATACATATTATGTTTGGAAGTTAACATCTAAGTTTTAGGCGGATTTCCAGTGCTAAATTAGAAATAGTTGCTACAGATCTGTTTGACTCTGTCACAGCTTTGCTTAAGGAGGGATTGTCTGCACTAAAAAATCCCCTAATATCTGAAATAATTTGTTTCGGTCTAGGCAAAATCGGTGAGTGTACTATAGCTCGTTATCAATTTGCACTGTTGCTTTGTTTGAAAGAGTTATATAATGTGAAGGTTTACATTTATGACCCAATTTTTAACGAGAATGATATCAGTTTATTGAATCACTTTGATATAAATATTCTTGGAGAAAATTTAGAGGGAAAGTATAAAGTAAGAAACAAAAAAACTACTTTATTTTACTTGCCACACTGCCCCAAACAGTTGACTAATAATTTACTGTGGGCAAACTGGGGATTAGATTTAAATTATTGTATCATTGTATCTAATAGCTTTAATAAAGTAATTGAAAATTCTTCAAAAAAAACTCTTGTAGAAAATGCAGAGTACATTTTAAAAATTACATCCTATGTTCAGGAGTTTGCAGTAATAAACACTTTTAAATACTATGAAGTATTTAATGACACATCTATTCATGTCTTTCCTAAAATAAATCTAATTCCCTCAGATTTCTGGGAAAACTGTAGAGAACCGAAATATTTAGACGAAGATATAGAATTTATTGCAAGCAATGTAAATAAATTGTTAATTTAAAATTTGTCTGCAGACTTTTGAAAAGATGGCAGGAAAATTAAGTGTATTAAGACAAATTATATCTGAATTACGATACGCCCTCCCTGAAGGCAATTTAAAAAATAATTTAGCCTTCCATTACATCGTGGATCAGTATAAGAAATATAAAACCACCGATCAACAACTATGCAAAGCTAGAGAAGAGCTGGATTTCATTGCAAAAACTTATCTTTGCTATTTAAAGAGTTCTCGTCTGGAACAGGAAATTCATAACGAATTTCATGGAAAAGGAGAACGAACTGTTGCTGAAACGGCGAATATGGTCGGATTCAAGTTGCCCCAAGACCCCAAATGAGGAACTCTTTTAGTTGTAAATAGTGACATCTGTTAGAACTTGAAATAGTGTTAGTTAATTGTAGTTTATAATAAATGCATACAGTTACAAATTTTTTTTTTTTCTTGAGCTTAAAGGTAACTGATTTGAGTTTGAGAAACACGTGTCGTAATTGTTTCCTTAAATTATATCGCGCAAATTGATTGTTTTTAATATGTTCATACCATGCTACTAGACAGGTAAATGTACCCTAAAACAACCCGTGCTAGCTACAGGCATCGGCTAGTGCTTACATTGTCAAATTTCCTCTGTTTTGATTCATAAACATGTTTTTTTTATACCGAAAAACTAATAAGTTGCACAGAAAGTTGTGAACTTACCTACTCTATATTATAAACAATTCGTAAACTGGAAACTAAAACAAATAATGAAATGAATCAGTGATAGATGCAATCATTTTTGTTTTGCCGAATTGACATTGGCTATTTGCTTTTTGCCCCTCTAGTGCGTTGTCATATCACATCAGGTGGATTGATATGTAGTAAATTAGGTCAATATCAGAAATCATTGACACATCCTCTAAAGGTGAAGATTTAACCAAAAAGGTTATTGAAAATGATTTCAAGTAATATTCTACAAGGAATTTTTCACATTTAAAATCAAAAATAAGGAAAATGAATACATTACAATATTTATGTATATTAAATTTTTGTTGCTCTTTGTCGTTCTCCCTCACAAACAAAAATAGTCAAGTGCCGCAACATAAAGTTATGCAGTAAACCCTAAATAGCTCAGATAGCTCTTGTAGAACGGCACTCTCAAAAAAATATATATAGTAAACTAACGGTGCGTTTATTCCCAATTTAAAAATTATAGAAAATATAGAAATTCTATTTATATTCTTGTTGGAGATATTTGGCAATTGTACTTAATTGTATATTATAAGTTCCCTCGTATATACTACCAATCTTCACGTCTCTATAAAATTTTTCTTGTATAAAGTCCTTCGTAAAACCGACACCACCCATCCAATCGATGCATTTTATACAAGTCTGTTGAGCAGCTTCGGCAGCAAAGTACTTTGCCATCGCGGCTTGTTTGACAAAAGGAGCCCCTGCTTCAACGAGGCGAGCTGCGTTGTACGTGAGAAGTCTCGCACACTCTATCTGCGTGGCAATCTGCGAGATTTGATGCTGCATAGACTGAAAAAAACAGTTGTTACTTGAAATATAAAAATATCTATCTCAAATATGCCTGTTGAATATAAAATCAGTTTCTGATTGAATTGCAATGGAAATGAGGGGTATATTATTGTTATCTTACCTGAAAATTAAAAATTGGCTGCCCGAATTGCTTCCTTTCTAACGTGTAAGGAATGGTGGCATCGAAACATCCTTGAGCCAGGCCAACCATCTGTGAAGCGATCCCTATTCTGCCTTCATTTAGAAATCCAGCGGCAATTTTATACCCCTGTCCGAACTTTCCAAGGATTGCGCTTTCAGGTACCCTTACGTTGTCAAAATTCACCATGCATGTCCCCGATGCACAAATTCCTAGTTTATTCTCCGTTTTGGCCACACTTAAACCGGGCAAGTCTCTGTCTACAAGGAAACAGGTTATCCCTCGGTAACCCTGAAAAAAATTAAGAAAATATTTTTTTACATTGTGGGTTTATGTGGGTGGCTTACATTTTTACAAAAGTTTAAATTTAAAAAAACTGTTACAATTATGGACACACTACAATGCTAAGAAAACTTGTTTTATTTTTTCGATAAAAATAAGTTGTCAAACTAAAAACATAGGTAATGTAGAATATTTTAAGCAAAAATATTTAAAATAGTGTTAATAGATTGATGACTAATTTTTTTTGGCAAATGAAAAGTATACAGGATGTAAAAAAAATAGATCAGTGTTTTAACCACACATTCCTTAGGCTAAAATAATGGGAGCCTCCTTATGCCATTTTTCATTTAAGAGCCCCTTTTCAGATATGAGACATTGATTTTATAAGCCACACTATCAGATAAGTCAAAGGCCTGACACTTGCTAAACATTAAATTACCCTCTTTTTAACATTTAAATTTAGGATGAAATATCACTATTTTTGATGTGATAACCCACTCACTGTTGATTAATTTTTGAAATGAAATAATCTTTACAAAAACTTTATTAATTGGACGTCATATCCCTTCGGATATGTTTCTACGTAAAGTCTACCAGTTACTTTACTATTGCAATTCGGACACTTTTTTTTTTTTTTTTGTAATACTGGTTAATTTTACGATTTTGTTTTTGTGAAATTACCAAAGAATATGGAAAAGGCAATTTATATTTATTTCTTATGTTTTTCTTGTAACTTCTATTAAGCAAATTAAATTAAATCTAGCGATTGACCGATATAAATATTTAATATCAATATTGGCATTAAAGTTGAAAAAGTGTAAATAGCTAAGAGACCCCTTTTCCTTCATTTGCACTTCAATTATATTGTACCAGATAAAAGTCCATTCAAAATTTCAACTGAATATCTTAAACATTTATTATTACGAGGGCTGTATGATAAGTACCTCTCTAGACAAGAGATGGCTAGTATTTAAAAAGTGATATTTTCCGTAAATATAACCTTTCACAACAATACTGTCAAGCTTGTCAAGATGGGGCATAGTTTCGTGTGAATGCCAGCCATTTAAATAGAACTTTCGTAATTTTACAACAATAGAAAAAACTCAATATCTAGCGGTGATAAAATACTTACTAAAGTTATTAAAACGGAGGTCAGCGAAGTTTATGGCGACTCTGCACCTTCATTATCAACCGTAAAATATTGAACAGCTGATTTCAAACGTGGCCATACAAGCATTTTTGATGAAGATCGTCCAGGTTGTACGAATGAGGTTACCACTACAGAAATGATTGAAAAGATCCGTGATAAATGATTGGAGAGATTGCTGAGACTGTGGGCATCTCAATTGAACAGGTCCAGAATATTTTAGCAACTCATTTGAATATGAAAAAGCTTTCTGCAAGATGGGTGCCGCAATTGCTCACAATTGACAACAAATTCAAACGTGTCAACTTTAAAAAAATGTTTTGTGATATTAAAACGCAATGGGAATAATTTTTGGCGTCAGTTCATAACTGTTGACGAAGCACAGTCCAAACAGTGGATTTTCCAAGACAAATCTGTGCCAAAGAAGGCTAAGGCGACTTTATCGGCGAACAAAATAATGGCTATAGTGTTTTAGGATGTACACGGCATAATTTACGTCGATTGCCTCGGAAAGGGCATAACGATTAATGGAAAGTATGTTAACTTGTCAGACTGTTTCAACCAAGCTGTAAAAGAAAAACATCCGCATTTGGCGAAGAGAAAAATCCTTTTCCATCAAGACAATTCCATGAGTTGAGATACGAATTGCTTCTGCATTTAGCATATGCACCAGATTTAGCCTCCCGCGATTATTTCCTATTTCCAATATGGAAAAATAGCTGGGCAGAAAAAATTTGGTTTTAACGATGAGATCAGTGCTGAAACGGACACTTATTGTGAAGGATTGGAGCAATAATATTTTTCAGAGGGGATACAAGAGATAGGAAAACATTGGATTAGGTGTATCAAACTGAAAGGTGATTACTTTGAAAAATAAAATAAAGTTTATACATAAAAATGTTTTTTCTTGTCATGGCCAGGTACTTATTATACAACCCTCGTAATAAAAATCTTTTTTGTATCACCTTGTATATTGCAAGTGATAATTTTTTGTTAAATCTATTTATACGAACCTCTGCAGCATTGGCATTGGCCATAACTAAAAACAGACCCGCTAAATCAGAATTGGAAATCCACATTTTTGACCCATTTAAAATATAATCAGTACCATCTTTTTCCGCAGTTGTTTTCAAGGCAAATGCATCAGTTCCTGAAGATGTTTCTGATAAGGCGAAACTACTACACTGTAATTGAAAAAATTTTATGGTAATTTTATATTTTGAAGAAAAAATAAACAGATTTAAAAATACGAGTTTTATTACCATGTCGGTAGCTAGACGAGGTAAATATTTTTCCTTTTGTTCATTGGTCCCTAATTTCTTTATCACAGCATTAACCAAGGTATTGTGAATATCAACTAAAACTGCCACTGCAGGGTCTACTTTAGATATTTCTTCTATGGCCAAGATGGTAGTCATAAAATTACATCCAGCTCCACCATAGTCTGTATCTATTTCTATCCCCATCAGCTAAAAGGAAATCTCTTTTCAGTTAATTAATGAGGTTTTTCAGATTTCCCTCATTCCTGCACTGAATGGTGGTTAAGGCTTACCAGCGCAAGTCGTTCCTGAGCACATATGAATAATAATATGCCGCCCCCTCTCCCGCACAAGCCTCTGACTTCTGGGCTAATCCTTGCGATTAGAAAGAGGGGTAGAAATATTACTATTATCTTTTCATTTCATAAACAGGTGTACTTTTTTAAAATTGCACAACTGATGAACAATAAAAACAAAATTTACAATTCTTCAGTTTAAAATTAGGTATATTAAATGTGCTTTTCAAAAATAGTATTTACCCCATTGTCGAACAACATTTTAATGACAGAATCTTTAAATTTTCCATTTTTTTCCATTTCACGAACATAGGGACCTATTTGTTCCTTGGCTAGCTTAGCCACTACAAAAAAAAAAACAGAAATGTTTTTTTCTGTAACAAATATCACATACCTGTTTCTTTCATGGCTTGTTCATCCTCAGACAAAAGTGTGAGAGGCGCATGCTGAAGAGGGCTTGCAGGAATATGTACATTTCTTACTACATCCCTTCTTAGATTTTTTAATACCTGAAATAAACAAAAATAAAATATGTTTTTTAATTAATTACATATATTACTTTCATTAAAGTTAACATTATTACACACATATACACAATATTTTTAACTTCAGTAATAAACAGCAAACATAATGTTACTACATATAATAATTTATGCATACTTACTTATCTATATATAATCATTTAACAGTGGTGTTGCAAAAGTTTTTCCAAAAGGATATGAACCTACATATCTATCTAATGTTCTATATAAATTTTAAAGCCATCTAAAACCAACTTTAAAATTACACTTCTAATTCAAGTTTTAGTTATAAATTTACTTTTTTTATTTAAAATCATATGTTGATTAATCCTATTTTTCTTTTCATTTATTTTATAGATTGTAGAAAATAATACATTAATTTGATAGTAGATATTTAGGTATTGTGAATAGAAAACGCCCACTTTTTATTTAAGTTATTTTCTTCATTTCAAGTATTATAAATACATTATTTTATAGTTTGATGAAGAGAACGCACCAAATTATTTTTCTCTAAAAGCTCTATTCATTAATGTTTCTTATTAATCATCTATTTATCATGAATAATTTCACAATCTTATTATTTATATGAACTTAGATGTTTGATTATCATAGATTTATTTTTAAAATGTAATCTTAAGTATTTGCTAATAAACAATTAGTTAATCAGTTATTGCCTTTCTACAAGGTAACTTTGGTGGTACCGATACATTGAAAATTCGAAGTACTAAGGTAATTTTCAGAATTGAGTTTGAAGGTCATTTTGGAGAATTTTGAGAATCAAAATTTATTTACATCAAGTGAACATGGAAATAAGAAAAAGGAAATAATTATCTGAACTGCAACAAATTAATGCCCGAAATAGAAATCAAGTAAATAGAAAAGTAATGCAATAATAATAATGCAAATAATAGCTAACCTTAACTTTGTTGTCACCAATGTTGCCAACGTTGCAAGTTGCAACAAAATATTCCTTATCAAGATTCCTCAATTTTTCACATAAATTAAACAAAAACATACATTATTACTGCTGAAATAAAAAATATCTAAATATTTCTTTTGGGTTGATTCTGCACTTATCTGTAACCAAATTTGAAAATTTCTATGTAGAATGACATGTGCATTTTACACGCCTTATTAGTGTGCAAGGTGAACGCACTTTTTCAATGAATAAATTATCAACCTTGTTCAATGGTGTCTTCCTTTTGTCGAATTCCATTGTATTGTTCTCTCTTTCCTTTATTCCTTTACGTTTGCTTTGACTGGTAAGTAAATTTTAAGAATCGAATTATATCTTAAATCATCTTTTTATCTCAAAATATTATTCAATTACAGCCATATTGGATCTTTTTTGTATATACTATTTTCTTATATCCGCCGATTACTTTTAGAGAAATATTTGATATCAAGTGTAAAAAAGAAAATATTAAAACATAACCTAAATGTGAAGGCTTGTTTGCATTTTACGTGTTATAATTTTAGGAAACAGAAGCAAAACCAAAAATGAAGTTCAACAAGTTAGTTACGGCATCCAGGAGTAAAAACAGAAAGAGGCATTTTACAGCTCCTTCCCACATCAGAAGAACCCTTATGTCAGCACCTTTGTCTAAAGAACTTAGGCAGAAATATAATGTTCGCACTATGCCCATTCGTAAAGACGACGAAGTACAAGTAAGTTTTTAAATTAAGTGTCGCCAAAGGACTTTTAAAACATTTTTTAGGTGGTACGTGGACATTACAAAGGACAGCAAGTAGGTAAAGTTGTACAAGTGTACCGTAAGAAATTCGTTATATATATTGAAAGGATACAGAGGGAAAAAGCTAATGGTGCCAGTGTATATGTAGGAATCCATCCATCAAAGGTAAGTTTCTTTTTTTTATTAGACAGCAAAATATATTTATGTTAACATGATGAACCAAACCATTCGTAGACTGCAGTGTTCAAACTTAATACCGTCTTTAACCCCAAAGTTTTTTTGGGAATTTGGAGATGGTATTCTGTTTCAGCTGCATCTTGGTGAAAAATTTGGCACTGATTTATATATTACTTGAATTTAGAAACAGGAATGAATGTTATAATCTTCTCGAATACTTATCAATCAATGTTCTTTGCAGGTTGTCATCGTAAAGCTTAAGATGGACAAAGACAGGAAGAAGATCATTGACCGCAGAGCTAAGGGACGTTTGGCCGCGTTGGGCAAAGACAAGGGCAAATACACAGAAGAATCGGCTGCAGCATCCGCTGTAGAAACGTCTTAAGTGTATGCTTTTTTATTTAATAAATAAATTTAAAATGTTAACTAGTTTTAATAATACAATTCTTCATTGGTTAAAATAAATATAAACAAAAAAGCCATGGATTGAAGTTCTTCAGCCTTTTTGTATTATAGTGAACGTTATAAGGAATAATGATAAATTAACAGTAAAACCCACACTATGTATTCAAGCACACACTAATTATTTGTTAGTGCGCATTTCTTGAATTGTTCTTAAAATGGATAATGGATTAAAGTTTCTGAAGTATTTGACGGCTAAGTTGAATATATGTTACATAAATACAAAAAAAAATTGAATAGAGGGTCAATGATGGATTGAATTTTAGTCATGGTAAAAATGTTTGTAATTGCTTTCAAACAATTCAGTATGAGTATGCCTGCAGTCAAAGGAATAGTTTGCAGACATTGTATATTTTGATGATGGTAGCAACTATTATTTCTTTATTTTTGTGTGACAACGATCTGGGAAGTTTCATACTGGGGGTGTAATTTTTCTTTTTTTCTAAAGTTAAAGTGGTATCGAAAGTTTTACTTATTGTCCAATATATTCCAAGGTATTTGATATTTTAGAAGTTGTTTTCCTAAAAGTGGTTGAAGAAACTGAATATCCTAAATTGGGACTTTTGAATGAAGAAACCTTTCTGGCCAAACAACCTTCCGGAAAAAAGTGTCGTTGCTTGCCATTGGCTACAGCCGCCATTTTGAATCTAAATCATTTGAAAAAATTCACAGTAATACTACCTGAAAACATGTACATTAAAGCATTTTTGTTCATGACACTATATGTCGTATTGATTTTTCTTTGAAAATTTCCAATCCTCCGACACCGTTTTCTCCAAATTTTTTCAACAAAAGTTGTACAGTCAGCAATTTATTAAATTTCACTTTATGGATTTACCATTTCTGTATAATTAATGATTTTATATGAAATTTAATTTTTTTCTTGATTTATTTACTTTGAGGTGGTAAATTCAATTAATCACTTAATTTTTTTAATTTGGAACAAACCAACTAAATAAAAGCCAAAAGTAGGTCAAACTTAACGTGAACGAATAAATCTAATAATTTTAAAACTGAGTATAAGAAAGTTCGGGAAGTGACTATCGAAATCAGTAATCTAACAAACTTTGGCGACTTATTTTTATTATTTTCACATTTTCCATTTATGTTTTGTAAATCTAAGTTTTTGTGTAATTAATTACTTTATTAATTATCACCTACACATTTTTGATACAAATCCGATTTGTCGTTTAAAACTTCATAAACAAAAGATAATGAAGACGGAATGAAGGTGAGCAATTTGTAATTGCATGCTCTCATGAAAATTATTGGAATTGTCATCTACAGTTATATAAACTAATCGCATTCATTTCAGATTATCGTCATTCTTCAAATTCATCTAATTTAATTTTTTCCAAAATAGTATTAAGAGATTCAAATTTGATAGTTGCAATATACAGAATGAGAGAAATATGAGATGAAGGCAATTATCATTCATGGGCATGGCTACGCCCGTGTTATCATTTTATAAAGTGAATTAAACGTTTTTAAAATTCCAATAATTCTCCTGAAAGAATATTAGAATGAACGTTTCTGTACTCTATGAAACATTATTTCATATTTATTATCAAATAAACAAAATTTATCATGCCAATTAAATCAAAATTATATCAAAAATGTGTTCGTAATAACTAACAAAAAAGTAATTTATTTTTGTGAAGATTGTATAAAATTTACAAGAAAAAACATAAAAAGGCCCGCTTTAAAATAAAATAACAAGACTTTACCTACAACAAATATTTTCCTCATTTCTGTAAATATAATTTTTTCGGTTACAACTCGACAGCTTTCAAAATGGCCTAGATATAATCCAAAATTTATGAAAAATTCAGAATTGGCATTAAATATGATCTGAATTTGAATGAAACTCAAAGGGCACTTTTTCTGAATAATTCCATCAAAATTAATCACTCCATTTGATTATATAGACCATGTGCATAGATATACTTCGTTAATTTGAGAAATAGTGATTGCATTTTCCAAAGTATGGAGACATATCCATGCCCTTCTTTTTTTTTCTTTTCACTTTAAATATTATTTAATTAAAATGATTAAAAGAATTTTTTGTTACATTTCTCAAAACAAACTAACAACTATTTTTTAGCTGAAAGTCAGCTCACTTTGGGAGTACATTTTAAGAACCTTTACGCTTCAGTATTATTATTTATTAACCCATTTATTAAAAATAATTGATAATTTAAATAAAACTAATGATGTTCATAAAGAGAAATGAGATTTAAAAATGACAACCTATCTAAGTCCTTCATAATTTATGTTTCTTCTTGTATTTCTGGCTTTGGACTAGGCTTGAACTTCTTTCGTAAAATATCATTAGTACCTTCTCTATTTCGAGCAATCTCTATCGCATAGAACTGTATTCTCGTTACTAGAATCGAGTTTTCTTCTTTATAGTCATCTTCTGCGTGAGAACGCAATAAAGTTCCAAAGCTGTAGTCTTCTATTAGAGTTTTAAAACGTTCACAAAAGGGACGCCATTTCGCTTTTTCTTTTGTGCTTTTAAGTTCGTTTTCATTGATAATTTTGACATCCAAAGTTGGAAATTCCTCCCTGAATATTTTATAAATCGTATCATCCATCGGCGTAAGTTTCAAGTGTTTTGGGTCGACGGAACATAAGATCTGAATTAAAATACTAAGAATTACATAACATAAACAAAACAAACAAAAATTAATATTAGATTGTTGATTTTATAGTAAAATCTATTTCTTTTAATGCTAATTACTGAGATATAATATCTTCACAAAACCAATGACTGTGAAAGACTCACATTAAAGTAAATCTCTGCATGTTCAAAGGCCTTAATTGCCCACATTGTTTCAATTGACTGATCATTATCAAATTCTTCTGCGGGTCTTGACAAAACATCCTATAACAAAGTATATAAAAAATGCACCAAATAAATACTTTAAAACCGATTTTTACCATAATTATTAATGAAAACAATAACACGTGGTTCTGATGAAAAAATTGTTGACAAAGTTGACGTTGACAGATGATAGTTACTTCTTCTTCTTCTTCTCTATGACTATGTTATAATTTTTTACACTATTGTAGATTCTACTGGTGTTTCATTTATCTGAGATCATATATTAATTTAGCCTTTGCAACTTTAATGTAAATTTCAATTTCTGATAGTTGCAAACTGCCTTGACACATGTGTGGTTGTGGACTATCAGTATGACCGCATAGATTAAATACTTATATATATATATATATATCTAGCACCATTATTCCATAGCTAGAAATTGGCCTCAATGATTTGGGATCGAGGGGGATTATCCCTCTTTATCCTGCCTCATCTCGTGTAGGCCTGGACAGC